GGACAAACTTATAGCCCTCATTGTTCAAGTGGGGTCTTGTCTCTACTCCTTAGTGTGACTGTGGTGCTCCTCAACATAATATCCATCACACTGTACCCGAATGTCCATCACAAGAGCTTACACGGGCCTAATGACTGATTTTTTTTTCCAGCATAGCCCACCCTGTCCTTGAATAGCTGAGTTAACATTTGAACCACTAAAAGTCCATGTATTCGCGATATGCTAAACAAACAAACAAACAAATATAAATAGACCTTCCAAAACTTAGCACAAAGACCATGACAGAACCAAGCTAGTGGCAAACATAGATTTCATTCTAGTCAGAGGTGGTATTCGGCCGCTTCTGACCAGTTCTGGAGAACCGGTAACGGACATTTTGAGTAGTTCGGAGAACCAGCAAATACCGCCTCTGACTGGCACCACCCCCATCTCTTCTCTGCCTCCCATTGAGTCCCAGCTGATTGGCTGGATCTCCTTTGGTTGCCCTGCACAGGAGAACGGAGCTGGAAAGCAGGTTAGTGAGGTGGGGAGAGAATGGAGATTTTGCAGTAACCTTCCCCCAGGAGTGGGGAGGGAATGGGGACCACGCCACACCCACCAAGCCACGGCCACAGAACCAGTAGTAAAAATTTTTGAATCCCACCACTAATTCTAGAGTCTATTTGAATGTGGAGGGTGAAATGTCCCATGTACTGGATTTACCCATTGCACTTAAATGCCTCAAAATCTGCTTAATCTTGCTTTAGCTTCCAGTAGGAATTCCACTCCTGGTAGCTTATTAAGTAAAATATTGCTTAAGGACTCAGCTTTACACGGTCACAGGTTTTGACATGGCAGGTTCACAAAACAGCGATGGAGCCTTCCAAATGTTGACACCCAGCATTGTTTAACAGCCACGTCCCTTTGTATTCTCAGCACTAGTTAGCAAATGTTGTCCAAAAGCAACATCTCATTAAAATGAGATAAACAAATGATGGGAAGAGCTGTGGACTGACAATGCATCACACTGTTTCTTGATTTGCTAATTTATAAATTCAGTTAGTCAGTCATTCGTGGGAAGGCAGATCAAGAAACAGACATGGCAGGGATTTTAAGAATGTTTTTCTTTTTTTAAAGAAAAAATTACTGTAGGGTAAAATAACAGAATCGTGAAAGTGTCTTTCTCTTTCTCTCTAACCCATCTTATGCCAAAGCTAATCAAAGTGGGATAATTTTAATTCTCTTTTTTTACGCCTTCTACTTTCTCACGACGGAAGTACAGATAGTTCTCAACTTGCAATCACAGTAGAGCTCAAATTTTCCACTGCTAAGCGAGACAGTTGTTAAGTGAGTTTTGCCCCATTTTATGACCTTCCTTGCCACAGATGTAGCCTAGTTGGGGGCATTTTATTGTTTCATTTGCACGTTGCCAGCAATCCTATCTACCATATGGTAGCATTAAAAAGCACTATACAAATAAAATACATTTCAAATCGTAATATATATATATATATATATATAAAATAAATTTAGAACAGATACAGGTAGTCTTCAGATGAACAGATGAACAGAGTTGGGAGGCTGAAGATGGGAACCACATCAGCTCTTTTCCAGTCCCAGTGCGCTAGGATTTTTGAAAGATGTGGCACAGTTGTTATGAGATGACATCTGCCAGATCTTTTACAACTCTGGGATGTAATCCATCAGGTCCCAGTGATTTGCATTCATCAACATCAGACAGGTGTTCTCTTACTTTTTTTTTTTTTTTGCTCATTTTAACTTTTATTTCCAGTCTGTCTTTTACAGTTATGTTTTTGGTAGGTTGGTGTCATGCCCTTGTTAGAGTCTAGTTCTGAGGGGGAGATTGAGCAGCTGACAGGGAGTGGGAGTGTGGCTCCAGTGGCTGTGGAGGAAACTGGGGAAGGGAACAGTCCGGCTGGGCCTTCAAAGGAAGACCCAGGGCCACCCCTCTGCATCCTAGGGCACGCAGGGAGGAACTGAGAAGGGAGCAACATGGCTTATGGGAGAGAAAAAGGCCCTGATCCCTTTCATTATTTGCAGCTGGGAGAACAGGATATAAGTGGGGCGTTAAGCGTGCATTATCTTGGTCGAGGCTTATCTGGGTGTTGGCGTCCTCCCAACTGTGGGTGCTGCTGCGTTATTTTGTGAAAGTCTGCAATTTATCACCCTGGCCTGCCATGTTAATTACTTCAGTGTGGTTTGTGTTGGTTTTTTTTTATTTCTAATTATCTTTACTTTGGGTTTGGACTGCATTTACTCCCTTCGTAGACTGTTTTTGGAAGAGTTTGATATCCAGCCAAGGATAATTGGACATTGGGGCCCAAGTTGGGGGCATTAAAGGGAATGTATTCTACTTTTGTGACTGTGTTATTTTTGTGTCACGCCCTGGGTCATCACAGTTGGGCTAGAGTTTCTTTTTGTCCGATGCAAAGAATGAGTTAAGCAGCTCTGCTTTCTCTCTGCTGCCTGTTACTACCTTATCGTCTTCTCTCTTTAGTGGACCTCCTAGATTTATAATAGTTCGTTTAGTGACCGTTCAAAGTTACAACGGCACTGAAAAAGTGACGTATGACCGTTTTTCACACTTATGACTATTTCACACTTACGACCACTACAGCATTCCCATGGTCACATGATCCAAAGTCAGGTGCTTGTTCACTGATTCATATTTATGATGGTTGCAGTGTCCCAGGGTCATATAATCCCCTTCGGTGACCTTCTGACAAGCAAAGTCCGGTGGCCTAGACTAGAGGCTCCGGTAGCCTAGAGGTGGAGCTCTCGCCTAACAATCAGGAGGCTGTGAGTTTGATCCTAGGTAGAGGCTAATATTTGGAATAGACTGTCAAGCAGGAGGTTGGACTAGATGACCTCCAACATCCCTTCCAACTCCGTTATTCTATGGGGAATAAAAATTAATGGGGGAACTGTGTTACTAACTTAACAACTGCAGTGATTCAATGAATAACTGTGGCAAGAAAGGTCATAAAATGGGGCAAAACTCACTTAACCAATGTCCCACCTAGCAACATAAATTTTGGGCTCAATTTTGGATGTACATCAAGGACTACCTGCATTATAGTGGCCATTGGTTTAGACAATTTCAAAAGAATAATTATACAGGTAAGTCACTGATGACTTCTAGTGAGGATCATTGTAGAGCCTTAATTAAGACAGTAGGGCCTAAATCAGGGGTGGGATTCTACCAGTTCGCACCTATTCGCTAGAACCGGTTGTTAACATTCTAAGCAGTTCGGAGAACCGGTTGTTAGAAGAAATTCCTGGCCTAATCCTGTAAGGAAGGCAGGAAGGAAACATTCTGGTATTGCTTACAGAACTGCCTCTCCGTTAACCCTTATTACATTCTTGGTAGGACTAGACTTCCTGACTCAGGAACTTTTCTGGAGTTTTTTTTTCTTCCTTTGCTGGCACTTTGCTTGTGTGGAGTGACCATTTAAAGTTACAATGGCACTGAAAAAAGTGACTTATGACCATTTTTCACACTTAACAACTGTTGCAGCATCCCCACAGTCATGAGAGGCCAGGTGAGGAGATGCGTGCCTCGATGTGAATGATATTGAGTTGGCCACACCCAGCCAATAACATGACCACCAAGCCATGCCCACCACCTAAGCCACTCCCACAGAACCGGTTGTTAAAAAATTGGAATCCCACCCCTGGCCTAAATATCAGCCCAATTGAATTTGCTTAATTCTTTTTAACCTCACAGTGGAAAAAGTCCTTGAACTGAACAACTGCTATCCACTACAAGGTCACACACCACTGTTCCCAAATCTAAGTGGAACAGCCTTCCCAGGGAACTAAATCCAGCCAATTAGTTGTGCAAAGATCAACAGATTTATTGTGATTTAACTTCAAGATTTCTGGAAAGGAGTGAGCTAAACACATGCTTTTTCGAAACCCCCTAGTTGTGTAACGGTTAATTATATCATTTTAAAGCCAATTCAGCCCCAGGTCTAAATATTAAAATTGGCAACTTCCTTAACATTCTTAAATGCACGGTGCTGATTTCCTTGTGTACAGCATTTATTTGCAAGTTTTGCCACTGCTACAAGTGGCAATTTCAAAGAATAAAGCACAAAGAATGAGATTTGCATTAGTGTATTTTTAGATTACAAACCAAAGTACATCTGGAAGTATGATAGTCTCATTGTTACTAAGACATGAGTGTATTAGTAACACTCAATTTCAACTTAAAGTCTCTGTACCTTTTAATCATCGTTGTTCAGAAGTGTAAACATACATGTTTCATTATTTTTACTGTAATATAAACTAATTTGAGCACTAGTTGCTCTCTGTAATATATGCCAAGTATAGAAGTAGACTTTTGAGACATTCTTGTGTGAAATGAGTAAATAGCAAAATATTAAGGTGTAGCAATTTAATATACACGGAAGTGACTTTTTACAGTTGCTATTTTCTTGACAGGCAGTGCAGCAATTCTGTCCATACTTTATCTGAATTCAGATTAAATTGTCAGGAAATTACATAATAAGAAGACAACCAGATGCAATCACATTGATTTCTATTTATTTTTTCTAACTGGTGGGTTTGCCACTCACTAACCAAAAGATTGAGGTAAATATGCTACAATGTTGAGAATCTATTAAGTTAACCCTGGCAGATTCTATCAAAAGTGCCTAAATAGTTTTAACTGCACATTTTTCTAAAACCCAAAATCACACTCTTGCATTAGATAACACCTTAACACATTTTTAAAAAATGTATTTAATTAATCCATTTGTTACATGTCTCAATTGCAATAGCAACTATGTTTTTTTTTAAATTAAAATATTGGAAAAAATATTTGGGCTCTATAGCAATAGCAATAGCAATTAGGGATGGTAAATATGTTAAGTTTCAAAAACGTTATCATCAGACATTTCAACTTTTCACACCAATTATCTTCCAGGAAAATATTCAACAAGATGAGGCTATGTAGTTTCCCACGAAAATAGTTTGAGAAATCACACAGATTGGGAGTAAAATGCAACCCAATCAACCATGGCAGGTGAAGACTGAGCACACACTTTTGCAGGTGCTAAGCTAGTTGAGTGTTAACCTTGGCAAAAGTTTTATATGGCATCACACAACATGAGAACCTGGTTATGCTTCCAACTGTTCCTTGCACAGGGATTAAGCTGGGGGAGGTGCCCAAAGTCTTTGCTTTTCCCCCTTTGCTTCTTCTTCCTTTTGGGAAGTAACCAAGTGGGCTTAATACTGTCCTCTACAAGCAAGGATACTATAGGTACCCTTTGACTTACAACCAACATTAACAGATCAACAGAGTTGGAAGAAACCTTGTAGGTCTTCTATCTAATCCAACCTCCCCACCTAAGCAGGAGACCCTACACCAGGAGTCTTCAAACTTCACAATTTTAAGACTTATGGACTTCAGCTCCCAGATTTCCCCAGCCACCATGGCTGGGTGATGAATTCTGGGCATTGAAGTCCACAGGTCTTAAAGTTGCCAAGTTTGGAGACCCCTGCCCTACACTATTTCTGACAGGTGGCAGTCCAGTCTCTTCTTGAAAGTTTCCAGTGATGAAGCTCCCACAACTTCTGAAGGCAACTTCTGTTCTATTGGTTGATTGTTCTGTCAGAAAATTTCTCCTTATTTCCTGATTGAATCTCTCTCCTTGTTCAGTTTCTATCCATTGTTCCTTGTCTGGCCTTCGGGTGCCTTGGAAAATGGCTTGACCCCCTCCTCCTCTCTGTGGCAGCCTTAAATATTGGAAGACTGCTATCCTGTCCCCCCTGGTCCTTCTCTTCATTAGACTAGCCATGCCAAGTACTTGCAACCATTTGTTTACCGTTCAAAGTTACAACAGCACTGAAAAACGGGACTTATGTGTCCATTTTTCACACTTACAACCACTGCAGCATTCCCATGGCCACATGATCAAAATTTGGACGCTTGGCGACTGGTTTATATTTATGATGGTTTCAGGATCCCAGGGTCATGTGATTTGTTTTTGCAACCTTTTGACAATGGGGAAGATAGATTCACTTAACGATGTGTTACTAATTTAACAATTGCAGTGATTCACTTAACAACTATGGCAAGAAAGATTGTAAAATGGGGTAAAACTCATTTGACAAATGTTTTGCTTAGCAACATACATTTTGGGTTCCATTGTTCTAAGTCGAGAACTACCTTGTACTAATTTCTGGGCAGAGGGAAAGCGTTGAGAAGAAGAGACAAGATAGGAGTCAGCAACAAGTCTGGAAAATCAGATTAAAGTCTCCAAATTTGGAAACTTTAAGACTTGTGGACTTCAACTTCCAGAATCCCCCAGCCAGCAATTCTGGGAGTTGAAGTCCAAAAATCTTAAAAAGTTGTGAAGTTTGCTGACCCATGGATTAAAAACTCACGCCTTCTCCACAATCAGGAGAATGTGAGTTCGATCCTAGGTAGAGGCTAATATTTGGAATAGACTCTCCTGTTTGCGCAGGGGATTGGACTAGACGACCTCCAAGGTCCCTTCCAACTCTGTTCTTCTATGATCTATGATCCTTTTCCAAAAGAGTTGACTCTTCCACCCCTTCAAACTAGCTGGACCAGCTGAACTACAACGTCCATCATCCCCCACCACACACAGGGAAGCCTGACTGAGTTACTACACTGCAACATTTGGCCCCCTGAACTCTTATCTCCCATTGTCTCAAATGCACAGGAAAAAAAGGACATGCTTCCTAGTCCCCCCAACCTTGCTTTCCCTTAACTTCGGTGCACGCCTATTTCGGCCCCCCAGTGCCCAGCAGTACGGCGCTGATAAGCCTCCGGGGCCCGCCGCGCTCCGCTCGCAAAGGTTCCGCCGTTTTGCATAAACAAAAGCGGTTGGAAATTTAATCTCAGGGATGCAATGTATAAAATCTCTATATACCTTCGCGGAAGACGCTCAGGGTCCTGTCTCGGGCTTTTAGCAACTCAATCTCCATTTTCTCAGCCACGAGGAGCACAGGCAGGCCTTTCTTTTCTTCCCGGGGGAGCAGAAACAGCCCTTAAAAAAAAAAAAAAGAAAACGGCAGGAGGAAAAAGTCAGCAACTTGGCAGGCGAGGGGGCGAAGGCTAATAGAGGAGGCGGGGTCTAGGAAGCTGGGACGGCGCAGAGTGCCCCAACCCTCTGGAAGAGAGGGAGGTGGGAACGCAACTTTTAACCCCTTGGGGAATTGCATTTCCACAATGAATTTCTTGCATGGCATTTCTTTATAGTTTCCTCGCGGCCCAAGCTTCCCAGCACAGGCTTGCAACAAAATGCTGGTTTCCTAATTTTAGGAGTTGCACGGTTGGGCGGGAAGAGCGCTTTGCTGGCGCTCAGAGGCAACTTTGCCCAGGCAATGAGACGGGAAACAGATTGGGGTGGCCAATTCATCGGGGAGGCAGTTGGGTATAGTGGTTGAAGGCGCTGGGCTCGAAGTGGACAAGTGGGAGACCTGGTCCTGCCCCAGCAGGGAGGTCAGCTGGGGACTTGGGGCCAGTCCCTTCTCCCTTTCTCAATCAGTCCTGGAAAGAAGATAACCTTGAATTTTAACCTTGTTCTTAATTGGATTTTTAAATCCTGTGTACTATTATTATTATTATTATTATTATTATTATTATTATTATTATTATTA